CTGATCTGCCTCACCCAGGAAGAGCGCAATGATGGTGCCAACTTGGGCCAGTGAAGCAACGTCCTCCACAACTAGACTGAAGAACAAAAAAGACAGCAACTTGTCTGTTTCCTTTCCCCCAATTCCCCAGTGCTGTTCCCATCCCCCAATTCCCCAATAAAAATCTTTACAAAAAAAGAAAGAAAAATAGTAGATCTTCTATAGCATGATAGCCACGAAAAATTTAAAAGCAAAGTTCAGAGCAATGTGTACAATATACTTCTATTTGGTTAAAAAAAAACCAAAAACCTGTGTGCGTACACATGTACAATAAGCTTATATATGCATAAAAGCTCTCTGGAAAGATTACAAGAAATTCAATACTAGTTGAGGGAACCAGGTAGCTGGGGGACAGATGCCCATATTATACCTCTTAAATGTTTGTGCCATGTGTATATTATTATCTATTTGAAAATATAATGACAAAATACGGCTTCATATTCTTGGACGATGACTCTTCCCTTACTGTAAAAGATCTTTCCACTGACCAGACCACCATCATTTCTTATTCTTTCCATCCACCTTCCCAGTTCTCCATTTTACATTTTAGTAGTGTTGTTTGGTAACTAGTGAAGAGGACAAAGGAAAGGGGAATCCTCACTTACCCAGCGCCATGCTGGTACTGGCTCTGTCTTGTTCCCCCACCCACCCACCAGCCTCAGTTCTCTCCATACCCCAGTGGCACTGAGTTCCATTCCACATACCTCAGAAGCCCTAAGTGCCTCATCTCATATGTAACCCTACCCAACCTCTTCCCAAAAGCCTCCATTTTGACTTCTCAGCTGTTCAGAAATCTCATTAATTAATTGGTTATTCCTTCCCTCGTCCCACCTCAAGCCCTCATTCTTCAACTTCCTCAGCTTCTACCCTACTCCTTACCCACTCTCCTTACCCTCCCTTTTCTTTGGAGGTCTGTCTTGTCCATATCTTTCATTCTTGCTTCTTTTTATCTTGTCCCATCTTACATCCCTAACCCAGAGAGTCTATAAGAGCCATTACCAGGAGCTTAGAACTGGGAGAATTCTCATAGGAACTGGGAGGGAGGCAATTGGCAAGAAGAGTCTTTATTCCATTTCTGCAGCCAGAGGGACAGGTGTTTTGAGTATCTCAAATTGGAACTCTGAATGTGTTGTCCTATAAAGATGTTATTATAAATGATGGTTAGGGGTCATATTTCACGTCCACAAGCATCCTAATCAAGAGAGGATTCTGTGGTTTATCTAAAAGTAATTTTTATCAATCTGTGAAATAGGCCAACGATCAGTGTGTCTTCCTATTCTTTATCTACATAGTGAGTGGTGATTTGTTTGTAAGTGGCCTGTGGTGCCTTCCATGTCATAGTTGCTTGAGTCGTACGGGAATAACCACGCCAGGTGGGTCTCATCATAGTTTGGCTATTGTCATGGTTTTACAGTTAGTGCCTTTTCTTTGTAAACTTGTATTGCTTTTAACTTCAGTGATGATTTCCCCCACCTTTAATGTTTTCTAATCCTCTTCTACAGAGGCGGACATCCAACCATGGTCATGCCAGGAAAAGAGCCAAGGTGAGAGCCCTTTCTCTATAGCTACTTTTCAGGTGCTATTAGTAATACATTTCACAAATGAACTTATCACTAATATCTAGTTTATTTGAATTATATATAGGCAAAGTTTTTTGCCTGCACTTTGTACCCTGATTATGAACATGCATATACACTCACACACAGAGACATGCACGCACACATTTCCTGTTGGAAGGTCTGGTTTTATTTTTCTCCATTATCTCTAGTTCAGTCACAGTCTATTTCTGATACCTGAAAGGATACCCAGCCAGAGCCTCCCACAAAGCCTGAGCAAATTGGTACTGGTTCTGCTGCAGTGCCAGTTTCTCTGCTCAGCTTTGGCTTCTCTAGGAGAATAGCTGCCATGAGTCTTTTTCCCCTGACATTTTTTTTTTCCATGTGAATTTTTTTTTAGGATAAATCCTGCCCCATTAGTAGAAATGACTCAGCATTTTAGACATCCTAAAAATACAGCCATTTTTAAAAATGTTTTACTTTTTAGGTTGGGGCAGGAAGGAAGACTTTGTTTTTAATCATTGTATGATAAAATTAGCACATCACAGATTATTTTGAGCAGTGTTATCAGGGAAGAATATATGTGTTAGTGTGTGATAGCTTATTAATTTTAGTTGGGGAACAGTAACATATTAAACTTTTCTTGCATTAGGAAGAATTATCACCAGAATTAATAATTAAGGGTGTCCACCCTTTTCCCCCCAAAAAATAATGGCAGAATTTGGGAGTGGCCCAGCCAGTATGTGACTTGGGTTTGAAGAAGAAGACCACAATGTATGTAAATTGGCTCTGTGTTTTGCCCTACATGGCATAATCCACAGTGATGCACTTGACATTAAAGTTCAAACAGAGGGTGTTCACTGCTGCTTCACTCCCTATCAAACCTTTTGAGTTAAGCAAGACAGTTATCTGCACTTTACAGTTGAGGAAACTTGGGCTTATAGAGAGTGGGTGAATTGGACAGAGGACATTTTATTAGTAAGTGGCAGAACTAGGCTTAAAGTTAGTTCTTCAGATTTGTAAGTTTTTTGCTATACTTTACTACCTAGAACACACATACCATGATTTGTGCTGTTGTATTCACTGTAAACCCTGATTTTATTATAAGAACTCTCAGTAAATGTTTATAGGTAGATTTCTAAGAGTCACTCTACAACTTTTTATTTTGGGGATCCCTAGCAGAGCAGTGATTTGCAAAGTGGATTTCAGATCTCTTTGGGATTCTCCAGCCAGCAGAAGTAAACCAAGTGATTTTCTTATCACATTGATTCCCAATTGTTAGGAAGTTTTCTTTCTCTTTGTTCTTAGACAATTCTTTCCATCCCTTGCCATCTCAGGTTTAGAGTCATTTGTTGTCTACTGTATGTTGGGTGCTATTTATGATACGTATGTTTATATACTTTATATCATCTAATTCTCAAAACAGCCCTTAAGTATTTTTATCCCAGTTTTATTGAGGAAAAATATAGACCCAGAGAGGTTAAGTAATTTGCTCAGGATCTCATAGCTCATAAGCACAAAACCAGGAGTTGAAGCTAGGATCTCTGGCTCTTAAATCCAGTGTCTTTCTACTAAGCTTTGCTGCTGTGTATTCTCAGTAAACCTCTGAGTCTGAAATTAGAGCACTGGGCTAGAGAGAGAAGAGAGCTAAGTGGTTTTCCCATCATCTGTCCAGTGTAGCCATTTTGATTTTATATGTCTACTGTTATAAGCAGGAGAATTATCTTCTAAGGGAATCAGGAACTGGCAAGCAGGACCTATTTTTAAAAAACCCTATGTGATGGAAGCAGCAACTAACAGAGCCAAAGAAGATGCCCGTCATTCAGCCAAAAGCTTTCTGAATGTCCACTAAAGGGATATATATGTGTTATTTGTTTTTTCTCAGTCTAACTCCAAGCTGAAGTTGGTACGCAGCCTGGCAGTGTGTGAAGAGTCCTCTGCCCCATTTGCTGATGGGCCATTAGAAACCCAGGTAGGTCCTTTATAAAAGTAAGTGTAGCTTTTGAGTTTGGCAGTTGCTTGGTAAACTGTAGTATAGCAGCCACAGCATCAACATTAGTCTTGGAAGTCAGGCTAGAAGGAGCTTCAAAACAAGCCATTACAGTAAAGCATGGCATGGGGAGAGCACCAAGTATAGGTCTTCACACCGGGACCACACATGATGATGCAGGCAAGGCGATCCCAGGGCTGGATCTTGTTTTCCCACCCACACCCTTTCCCTCTGGTAGTTAGAACCATTTCCATCCAATTCCTACACCAAGAATGAGCAGTGTAACCTGAGCTCTCCATATAGTAGGCTGTAATTGTTGGCAGAAAATGCCTGGCCTCTATCCTTAGGGCAGAACAAAAGCTAAAACAATTTAATTAACAAAATACTGTCTTCTATAAGAGAATGCTGCCACCCCAAGATTTATCTTCTTTGAGATTTTAAGGGGGCTACAGGAAAGTTAAATCCTTTTTTCCCCTTTAATTTCCTTTTACCCTTGTCTAAGGATATAATTCAGTTGCACATCAGCTGCCCCTCTGACAAAGAGGAAGAAAAATCCACAAAGGATGTCTCTGAAAAGGAAGACAAAGACAAAAACAAAGAGAAGGTCCCAAGGAAGATGCTGTCTAGAGGTGAGGACTCCTCCTTTCTCACCTGTCTTAGGGCCAGGCTTTGCAGTACCCTTTCCTTTCATTTTGAAACCTGGCACCTGCTGGCCTAACTGGCCCAACAATTCACAGTGTCCTGCTGACTTCATGGTTGCTTGAGAAGGTGCCTGACTAGGTTGTTTTCTGTGCTGCTTTATCCAACCTTGTCTTAGGCGTTCACGTGCCACAGAGACCTACTCCATTAACATTGGTGCTACCCATAAGAGGACATTGTAGTCAGTTTTTATTTTATTTTTGCTCTGGAATAAACAGTGACATGGATCAACACTTGTTACAGCTCCTCCAGATAGCATTTATATGTTGGTTTGGGGATGCTTGGAGTAGTTTTTTTAACAATGCAGATTTGTATATTATTATTAAGCTTTCTTTGTTTTTAAATTCTTGGGTGGAAAGCAAAAAGACATGGTCCATAAAAATGATAGTTGAGAGGGAAAAGGCAACCTTGGGATTAAAATTTTATAAATACAAATAATCATATAAATAACATTTGAGCACCTTGGCTGAGATTTTGGAAAATTCAGCCCTGACTGTTTTTACCTGGAATTTCTTTTCCTTAACTAGAATAAAACCGACACTGTTTTGGTCAGGGCATTCAGCAAGTACTCACTGATGGTAATACTGATACAACACCATGACCTAGGCTCTGCCTTCTATAATGGTCAAGAGGAACTTGGGGGGGGCTGGCAAATCAAAATCATTCTGGTTTTTAAGCTAAAACCCCTGAAGTTTGATTCTGCTTTCCTATTCTCATCTCTCCTGATTAGGTTGTGGGCTTCTGCTTGGGGTTAGATACCATGCAAGGCGGTTTCATTTATTTTAAATTTCTTTTGTTGTGGTGGTTCTAGACTCCAGCCAAGAATATACGGACTCCACTGGAATTGACCTACATGAATTTCTTGTAAATACACTGAAAAAGAACCCAAGGTAATAACATGATTTGACGGCATGGGGCAAGAGACCAGCGGCCAGAAGGACACCCAGGAGGCCAAGCAGCTTCTCAGATCTGTTCCATTAGAATCTAGGATGCCCATCCCCCACCACCTTTTCCCTCCAGTGTAGTTTTACATTCTGTGAGGAATGCAGAATACCCTCAAATTGAGGTTTCTGTTTTCAGAGGGGTTGAGAAAAATTCTGTGGAAGAAGAATGCAGAGACAAAGAAATATGAAGGCCTGGGAGTACAATTAAAATCACACAAGAAAAAAGAATTCATTTGTACATAAGCTTAATCATAATTGTTTAAAAATTTTATGAATAACCAGAGGATTATAGAATAATGAATAGATACATAAGTATAAAGTATGTGTTTATAGGAATATGACTACGAACAGAATTAGGTTTCTAATAAGAAAAGCAGAGAACATGGTTAGGAGGATCTGCAAAATGAATACTTGATTTCTTTTTTAAAGTAACATAAAATAGGTCAGTGAGGCTCATCAGCCACTGCATTTTGGTCCAGTTGGGGCTTGGATCTATCTCCCTTCAGCTTCTGTAGTGAGCAGATTGTGTTCTCAATTCTTGCTTTGAATGTCTATGGGAGGCTGCTTTTTGTTTTGTGTTTTTTTTCTTAATCTTTTCTAAACAGGGACAGAATGATGCTGCTAAAATTAGAACAGGAGATTCTGGAATTTATTAATGACAACAAGTAAGTTACTTGAATGAAATACACATTTAGAGGTGGGAGGGTCACCGGAAAGAAATTTAGGTACAATTTTAGGCTATCACTCTTTCATCTTTCCCTTAAAGTAATTACTCAGTAGGAACCAAAAGAAGTTGGGGAAGTAATCAGAATGGATTTAAAAATATATGTGTGAAAACCAAGTGAGGTTTTTAAGTTATTGCATAGACTTCAGTTGCAAGGAATTTATACCTTTTCAGCAACTAGCCCCTGTCCCATTATTCTTAAATGTCTCCCATTTTCTTTATAGAAAATCATCCAGTTAGGTGAGACCTAAGACTTAAGCAGTAGTCTTAATGAGAAGAGGGGGTTAGAGTGATCTACAAAATATTGTAGAATAGAGAAGCTGAGAGAACCTTTTGGTTACCATTGAGTAAATATCTTTCTAATAATATGTGTGTTTCTCCTAAGAAAGTCCCCGATTTAGACATTTTTAAGAAAAATTACAGTTGGCTGTTATTTGTCCTTATTTTACTTTTCCCTCCCTGGTTTCCCTTCAGTAACCAGTTCAAGAAGTTCCCTCAGATGACCTCATATCACCGGATGCTATTACACCGGGTAGCAGCCTATTTTGGGATGGACCACAATGTTGATCAAACTGGAAAAGCTGTCATCATCAACAAAACTGGTAACACAAGAATGTAAGCGAGGAAACCACAGATTGGGAAGACTTTCCTGGGATAGCCTCTGGGCTTGAAGAGGAAGATTGTAGGGGTCAAGATGTCTCTTTCTGGGGAGGGACTGGGGTGGGTGTGTAGGGGCTATATTATCAATTCCTACTCTTTGTGAGGCCTTGGAGATCGATTCTAGAGTCACTGTTGTTTTGTGAAGACTAGCCCCTGGCCTCTCTTCATTTGTACTGATAGGACAGGTATAACTTTGGAGAAGACAAGTTGTAGATGTATAAAGAACAGACCCTGAGGATTTCATTAAAACCTTCATGTGACTTTTTGGATGCCTGACTCCAGAAATTTCCTGAGTGGGAGTTGTGGAATTTAAGAGAGTTGTACTAGGAGATCTGTTTCCTAACAAAAGGGTTTTTTTCCTCCCTTCCTTCCACATTTCTCTCCCAATCCCAGCCCTGAACAAAGGTTCTCAGAACATATAAAGGATGAGAAGAATACAGAATTTCAACAGAGATTCATTCTCAAGAGAGATGATGCCAGTATGGACCGAGATGATAACCAGGTGAAGAATGGAAAGGGGTGGGCATATAGAAAGATTGCAGTAAGAGAAACTGGGAGGGCAGAAGAGTTTTTATGGGATGGAGTGTGGAATTTTGTAGTGTGGAAAAATATATTGAGCTATACCAAGTTGGCTTTGGCTTACTGCTGAGGACTGACTACACTTGTTGAGCTGAATGCCACCCTCTAAGCCCCAGAGAGACATGGTGCTGAGGTTTGCTGGGTTTTCTCATTGGTCCTGGAACTCCCTGGTTCTGCCCCTGACTTCTAACTCCATGTTATTTTGGGATAAAGTAAGGTCCCTCCCTGCTTCAGCCTTGATCCAGCTGATAGCTTCATTCTTTTTTTCTTTAATAGTCAGGGATTTCTTTGGGAACCACCCAAAACTACTTTTGCCCACTTCCACTCTTACCCTAGCTCAGGGCTAGCCTTGAACGGGCTAAGTTGTGATCTGATTTACCCACATATAAAGGTGTTTCTGATCCCATTCTGCAAACTCCTTCTTTTCCCAGCTCCTTCCACCAAGGTGAGTGAGTTAATTTGACTTTTGATGCTGGGAACCTCAAACAATATCCCCTTTTTGATCACTCCTGTGGGAATAAGAAGTGAACAAATCTGCCCCATCCTTTCATTTATGGGCTTGTTGTCACCCTGACTTCGAGCTCACCCTTCAGATAGTAAGTGATTATTTTTCCTAGCCACATATAGGGATTAGCCTGCTTCTACTTGGCCTCCAAAAGAGGTTAGGTAGAGAACCAGGATTAAGGTTTGAAGAGCATGGTTGGGTAGAGAAAATATGAGTCTTGCTGGTTAATAATAACTATAATAATACCTTACCTCTAGAGTCAAAATTAGTTTTCTTGGGATATTGTATAGTTTTGAGACCAGGCGTTTTCCTGGTTGCTACTTGAGTATTTGAGGGAGTCCTTTAGAGAAAAGCGCCATTATCTGTTATGGAAAAACACGCTGGGTCTGATTGAAAAGAATGAAACAGACAAAAAGACAAAATTTTTAAAACAAGAAAGAGCTTTTCCATCCTGATGCCCTTCTCTCCATTTTCCCAAAACACTTTTTTTGTGGATCAGGAATTATTCAGGCCTAGAGGCATATTGAGATGGAGTGGAATCTGTGCCTATTGTGAACTTTTCATCTCTCAGCTTCAGGCTTGATCCATACTAGGTTAGGCTCTATGCACTTTCTGTCTGTGGTATTAATAATAAACACAGTAATTGCTATTTTGTTGAGTGTTTTCCCTGAACTGAACTCTGTTCCTAACACATTATATACTTTATCTCTTTTAATTCTCTTCACAACCCAGTGTAGATGGGGGTTATTAGCCCCCTTTAAATGTAAGAAGACTGAGGCTAAGAGATGTTAAGTTATGAAGTGACATAACTCAGAGGTGGCAGAGCTGAGATCCTGTCTGACCTCAAAGCCCATAATGCTCTTTCTACTCTGCCACTGGTTCACCAGTACTAGGGGCTGAGGACAATAGAGCATCCAAAGGTCCTGTGTCTTCTCAGAATGGGATTTTTAAAAGGACATTTTGTAGAATTTAGGGTAGTGAGAACTAAGTCTAGTCAAAGGTCAATACTCCTGAAGTTACGCCTACCTCTGGAGATTGGTGAAGATCAGTAAGATCAGCCTAGAGCAGCAGTCTCCTTGGTTGTTTCATCTGAAGCTTTCAAAGCCTCTGAATTGAAGGTCAGAATCGTATAACCTGATGATATTATTTGATGGGTTATCTCCCTCAGAACTCATTGCCTTTCAAGAGCAGAATGGAAAAGGACACTGTAACACCCCACCCAAGATAGTGCTCACAACTCACAGGCCAAGAGAGGGAAAGAGTTGGGAGTTGGATGGTAGATTAGCTGGAGGTGGTGATCTGCTCAGTCACCCCATCTAGTCACCTCACTTCATTTCTCAGAGCATGTAATGTTCTCTGTCCTCCATTTCCGTCTTTCCGTTTCTATTGTTCTCTCTCCCTTCCTTCCACTGTACCTATTTGTATGTTCTTCCTCTGTCCATCCTTTCTATTCTACTCTCCTTTCCGTTCTCTCTTCCTCTTTGTGTTGCTCTGTTCTCTGTCTTCTCTTTCTGTAATTTCTCTTTCCGTCCCTCCAGGAGCTATAGATAAGAAAAGATCCTTAAGCCTTGAGTTTAGCTTCGCCCTTGGGATTTCCTTTCCAAGGCCTTCTTTGCTGAGCTGTGTGTGACTTGGGTCTTCAGGCCATGGCATTAGTGACTAAAGAAGGGATAATGTCAGGTGCTAGATCTGTAAAACTCTTCTCTACATTCAGCTCTGCTAAATACCTGTTTCTTTTCCCTTTCTAGCTTCCTCCTATCCCTTGCTTTCCCTCCAAAGCAATGTTGTTTATTCCCTCAGTTATTCTCTTGATCCTTACTGACTGGAGAGTACCTGGTTACTATAAGGAAGCAACCCAATCCTTATAAACAGTCATTCTTGATATTCTGGGGGTGGGGGTGGGGAAATGGAGAGGCCCCAACCATCCAGAAAACCTGATCTCCCAAACTGCATGGTCAGATGTACCCAGTGAAACCTGTCCAACACTGGAAATTTTATTTCTTTTTTTTCCATTTTTTTGATGGCAACTATAAACTCTCCCGGTTTCTCTTCCTTGCTGGTGTGCAGTGAACTTGCAGTACGAGGAGAACTTAACTAGCTTAATTCTGCTCATCGATCTAGATCAGAGTTCCATTGCAGGATGGAAGGAGGAGCAAGTCAATAGAAGAGAGAGAGGAGGAATATCAAAGGGTCCGAGAGAGAATATTTGCCCGAGAGGTAAGTGTAGCTTCTGAGAGTTGTCAGCCCATAGCTTTTAGCTCTTAATCTTTGGAACTGTAAATGGAATGAACCCTCCATAAATGTTTTGTTGTTGTTGTTGTTGTTTTAATCAAAATCAGCCAGCTCCAGATTTGATCTCTAAAATTAAATGTGGCTTATAGGGAAGCTGCACATTTTTATTTGTATTATTTTTAATACATTCTGCTGTATGGCATACATAAAGAACAAATGGAGTGGCTGAATTTGGTGGATATGATTAGACTGAAAATAGAAATTGTTTTGGCAGGCTTTATGGAAGGGCTCTGAATCTTGCCTGTCAAACCCTCCTCCCACTTACCCTCTTTCACTTCCACTATCCATTTTAGGCATCTCTGCTTCTAAGTGGAAGACTTAGTATTCACAGAGCCTCTACATTCATCTTGTTTGGCCAGCCTTGTTTTTAGGCCATGTTAGTGACTATTAGAGCACAGACCTGGCATCCATTCTCTAAGCTCCCCATTCCACATGCACAGAGGTTACCACTCACTAGTCCCTCCAGTCTCTACGTGAATGGAAAGTCTCTTTCTTCCTATATTTCTTACCTTGCTTCTTAGAATAGGACTGGCTCCATGGGCCAAAAGGCAACATGAATCATTTTAGGCAACTTTATTCTTAAGAATCGTGGACGGTATCAGATATACTTGGTACCTCTGTACCTGGTGGCCTTTGCTACCAGAGTGAAGAGAAATATAACAGAAGTTCAGGAAAGGCTGTGAATAGGCAAGAGAGGAACAAATCTCCAGAAAATGTAGGATCCAAACAGCAGCACCATCTTACAGCCAAATTAGCAAACAAAAGAAGAGGCAGCCTCCCTTCATTGTTAAAAGATGGCCAGTTTTAATCAATATACTTAGATGGACAGATACTGCTCTCCTCCCATTTCCCCCACTCTCCCCTCCATCAGCAAGACAAAAAATACATCTTTTCATCATCACCTACGTCAGAAAAATATTGTCTCCAACTTCAAAAAAACTGAACTCCTCTATGAACTCGTTCCATTGTACTCAGGAGACCCAAGTGTTCCAAGGATCCTCACTGGGGACAGATACATGACAAACCTTCTGGCCCAAAGTCCAAGGAGAAGGAATCTTCTTAGCTTCTGTTAATAGACTTCCATTCTGAGTCAGAAAAAAATGATCCTTCAAATTATCCAATCATAGCCCAAAGAGGGTTCTCTAACCTTCACCTGCAAACCAGTTGGGTGGAATGAGAGGAGAGAGGTCATGTGTACATGGCTGTAGCCAGTGATAACCCTAAATTGTGGACAGAGCAGGTTGGTGATGATAATAGCAAACATTTACATAGTGCTTACTATCTTTCAGACACTGTTCTTAGCACTTTGCATAAATTATTTAATCCTCATACTAGGTCACATTATTTCCTCATTTTCTACATGTGGGACTGAGGCATAGAGAGGTTAGGTAGCCTAAGATCACACCACTAGCTGGTGAAAGAGCTGTTATTTGAATTCAGGCTGTCCGGCTCCAGAGTCCATGCTCTTAACCCCGAAAATAAACTACCTCTCAATAGTTTGCTCTGCCCTGGGCTCTTTAGGTTAAGAAGTACCGTGACATCATAGCATAGCTATCTGTGATGTGTGCCTCTGCTTCACTGACACATGGAAATGACTGTCCCACCATGCCAGCCATTAGCAAAGCAACAGATATTCTGAAAGTAGAAGAAACTTTTAATAGTATTGGGGCTAATTATGAACAACACTGGAATATATCTACCTACAACCATAACAGAGTCAAAGTTAGCTCTTCTCTCCTTTTTTTCTCCTGATTTATAATCTCTCAAGCCCCTACTAATATATGTATTCTTTGTTAAATCCTTGTGGATTTATCACTTTCATTTCAGCACTTCCTAATTCTTGGCTGTGGTAGAGGCATCGGGTACCTCAGAAGGCCTTTGGCCAAAGCCCACCATACTCCAAAGAATCCCAGGTGGAGAGGAACCTGGCCAGTCAAAGGGAGATGGTTAAGGGTGGAGTTGTAGGTTGGGGCAGAAGGAAGGAAGAGGCAGGCCGAAAAGAAAGGGAAATGGCAAGAAGGGTGTTTGGATGGAAATGCTGCTGGTGCAGCCTTCTCTGGGGCCTGGGCTGCGTATTGGGAAACTGCCCCTTGGAGGCTCTGGTCTGTGCAGAACTCACTCTGCTCAGCAGCTGGACAGTCTTGGTACCTCTTTCCAAGGCTTGGGAATCCACCATAATGCTTACTTCGCTCAGCTCAGTGGCTTTGTCAGGAAATGATCCCCAGTAGGAATGATTCAGGCTTTTAATTTTCTCATTTTTTCTAGGCTCTGAAAAGTACCTGCTTCCCCAATTTCTTACTCTCCTTGGGTCTCAGGTCAGAATGTCTTTCATTTTGGCCAGTGTAGAGGACAGAAATGGAATAGTCATTGAGGACAATTTCCAAAAAAAACTAAATTTCTTTCTCTTGTCTCCCTTTTCCCTTCCTTTGAACACACTCTTTAGGACCAAGCACACCAATTATTATGCTCAGCTTCCCTCTAGAGGGAATAAATTTAAAGCTAAAAAAGAAATAATAGTTAGGTTAATACTTTCCTCTTCCTCCTTTTCATACTCCTACCTTTATCAGCTTCTCTTTTTAAACACTCTGTGGGAAGGCTAAAAATGCTGAATGCTCTTTCCCATTAAAGGTGAGAAGTCAGATTGGGGGTGTGGGTGTGGGTCATCCTGTCCCTGCTCCCTCTCTCCCTGTTGGGGGGTGAGCTTGGTTTGAGGACCTTGGGTATTCATAGCATCATGGACACCCTTTTCGGTTATGCCATGCTGTTTTCTTATAAGTTATTTTCCGTTTTCTCCCCCTCACCTAGACTGGCCAGAACGGATATCTAAATGACATCAGGTTAGTACCACTTAGCATGTTCCCTGCTTCTCATTGAGCTTTGTCAGTGAGGTTAATATAATCCTATAATGATGCTTTTCTTTGATGTTAACCAACAGACTCTCCAAAGAAGCCTTTTCTTCTAGCTCTCACAAGAGAAGGCAGATTTTTAGGTACCTCTGTGTAATATATATCTCTCCTTGTTTTTTTGTTTGTTTGGTTTTTTTTTTTAATTTTGTTTTGCTATAATCTTTTCAGCGGAGTGAGTTTGCTCCATGCATGGCTGCTTGTGAAATAATTCAGCTTGTGGTTTTTGCAATATTGGATATTTTTCCTCATTAAAAAAAACGGCTCCTGCTCAATGACTCTATTTTTATTGTTGCTGATTTCATTTTAAGTCCTGGAAAGGTGGTGAAGGGAAGCAAATAGGTATGTCTGGGATAGGTACTGTTTCCTCCCAGAAATTTGACGGAATTGGGCATTTTTGGAGGGGTTCGACGTATATTAAGGTACAAGAATGGGTGTCTTCCAGCTACCTTTCTGAATCTGTACAAAAATGTGAAGAGCTTAACCCTTACCCAGCATAGGGAATGTCTTGTGTCTTTAAGAAAGAATAGTACAAACACATACATATATAAACACATACATACACCTCTGTCTAAGTAGTTTTTTCTTTGGGACAATGTAATGGGTAAGATGACCCATTTCTGAGGCTCCCACAAGGACCTCAGAAAGGATTTGTCTGCTTTAGAAGAGACTTAGATTATGTCCTTTCTATGATTGTCTATGACTTGCTCTTAATGTTGGTGAAAACTGCTGTATTATCTTCTCCAGTGCCTAATATTCTCCATTTTCCACAAAGCAGTCTTGAGAATCTTCTTTCATTTCAGTCCCTTAGTCCCACCCCAGCGATTACACAAGGTGATGGTGAGAGAAGCACTACTTTAAGACCCTATCCTGGCACCAGCTCATTTTAAGCATATTCTGCCGTAGAAAAACTATAGAGCACAGAAAACCTGAGTATTTAATACTAGGATTCAGGTTTAACCCTTTCATCTTTTTTTGAATCCTAAGCTTGATAGGACCTAACTCAGACTAGTTATAACTGTCATTCCCAGTACTTCAGTTGTCCCTTCCCTATTGTCCTTTCTAACGCTAGTCAAATCATGTGTAAATTGGCATGTCAAGGTTTCCCATTCTTGGGATGGAGGATTTATCTCCCCTTCCATATCTCTGAACTTTTTTTCCTAAATTATCCCACCTTGAGGTCCATCTGAAAGCCCCAGGCAGAGAGGGCTCTACATTGTTGGTGGTGGTTGAAATAGAGTCCCCTTTAAAAAAAAAAAAAAAAATCCTGTTCCATATTTTACACTGTGGAGTCATAAATAATCCCAAAGTACCTATAATAAACAGGAGTTTTAAACTGACTTCTATGTGTGACTTAATGCACAGTGCATTACTATTGCCAAAGTATACTGTACCTGATTCCGTTCTCTCAATGTCCTGATTTGGTAAGCTGGTTTACATGTAAGAAAAAAGCAGAGAGATTAAGTGGCCAACCCAAGTTTTCATGGCTATTAATGGCAAAACTAGGACAGACTCTTTGTCCAGTGTACTTTTCATCATACCACACCAGCTCTCTACAAACATCACCCCTATCCCTCTGAGTAGTGTTCCATTCAGAGCCCTAATTCAGATTCACTGCTAAGAATGATGCCCTTATTAGTGCTGTGGAGCATCAAACTATATCAAATTGTGCAGATAATAGCTTGAAGGATCTAGTGAGCAGATGCAGTCTTTTCCTATCCAGACCTCTTATGCTGCTGCTTTCCATACTGAGTTTTGATTAAAGATCTAGGTCATTTAAATGCAGCTCCCTGGACTCTTAAGGGAGTAACTTCTTCCTCTATTTGGGTACTAGTCCAGAATGCTAATGATTAGAAGCTGATCTTCTCTAAGTGCTTTATACCTTTCTTCCCAAGTTTGTGAAACAAATACCAATATACCAAATTCCCTCATCCACAATTGGCAATAAGTATGGCAACTTCCCAATTCTTTGGAAGATTCTACTTGACTGATAAATAAGCTACAGTGAGGGTTACTGATATTTATTGCCACCTCTTCCACAGACCTCTCTGCCCACTCCCCAGACCCAATAAACTGGACTTTTCACCAGCATTGAATCTACTTGTAAAAACTAAGCTCTGATTTCACAGGAATATGAAGTGTAAATATTCTCTGTCCTTCACCCCCACCTCTCCAACACACATACAACCCAATCCAGTGCTCAAAATTGAGTTTAGTAGTTTTCCCTAAATGCCTTATTTTTAGTGAAGTGGAAAGACTTAACTAAAGATTGGGTTTAGTTGTAGAGAAGGAAAACGGATCTCTTTTTTTGCCATACTCCACACAGATTCTCTTGACTCTCGGGTATAGTGTACTAACGCAGGTTAATCAGAAGGCCATTAGTCCCCGCCTCGAGCACTTGCCCATCACTGCCTGGGGAAACTGGATGAGTATAGAAGTGCTGCCACTTTGGCTTCCCAGGGTGTTTGGTTTACAGTTGACTCATTCACTGTCCTCTGGTAGAAAGAGAAAATAAATGGCGGAATTGTCATAATAGATAGTACAGTGTTTGATTTAGCTATAAAAGGCCATTAGGACTTGTCTTGCAAAATTCATGCTCTAATGTCTAATGTACGGCCTCATTCATTGCCACTGCTATATTCCCTTACCCCACCTACACACATCTTTACTGAGTCCTCTCAGTAGACTTGGCTTTGTCCATTGAGACAGAGCTATTGGCTCTTGCTTGAGTCTGGTTCTGTTCCTGGAGAGTCCCTAATTTATACTTCTTTCTTGTTTCCCATTCTACTTTTGACATGCCCCCAAAAAAGCAGTAAAGTTTTGGGGAAACAGGAATATTTTCCAATCCTCTATTCTAACTATATAGAGAGAAGCTTTGAGGTTATAGGTACATCTACTTGGGATTCAGAGAAGAATTAGCCACATCCCTAACCAGCCATGCCAGTGTGTTCTTAACCCACCACAGTTAGCTTGGCTAAACACTAAAATAGTGACCCTAGCATATATTTTGCCCATCTTCTCTATAGTACCTTTGGAGCAGATATTCTCATAAAGAAAAGTATTTTATTTAATATTACCTCTTTTTTTCTTTAAGCTGAGCCATCCTGCCACCTGTTGGCTACTCAGCGGCTGCTCAGCTCGGGCCGGGAATTGAACCACTGTTGCTCAGAGCTCAAACTCTTGAGCGAGCTCTTAACCAACTGAGCCACTTGGCCGGCCCCTTTAATATTACCTTCTTAGTAAAAAATATCTTCCTTTATTAGAATAACTCTGAGCCTAATGTCTTTGCAGCTAAGGGGTTTGAGATGGGCTTTTCTATTTACTTTAGGTGGGATGGTGGTAAAAAGGAGGGCGCCCAAGCTACCATGAATTTTTCTCAATTGCTCCCCAGTACACATACCAAAATCTTTGTAATTGTTGTCATTTGATTTCCTTAGGTCACATGCGTGTTTCTTGGTTGCTTATTGATTAAGAAACATTAAGAACTCAACAAGACTTAGGGCTTTCAGGCCAACCCCGTCTATCTTGAGGAGTGCAGCTGTTTATAATCACAAATAGTGATTATAACATCAGGATAACCCTGATGTTTGTAGAATAAGAGAGGATGAATCCCTTCTCTCTATAACCTTGTGCCTTGCCTAGGGCAATAGGGTTCTTAATATGGAAGCAGCTAGGCACAGTCAGCCCCCACCCCTATCCCCCTGCGCCGCCCTCCTCTGCTCCCCCTCCCCCGCAACACACCCACTTGCCATCCTGAGTCCCAAGGGCATGTTTGGTTGATCATGCTGAGAACTTCATCCCTGAGAGACCCTGGAACCACTTGTTCCCAGATACCAACACAGAGCTTCCACAACACAGGTTAGGTCAATTCCAAACTATTGGGGTGAGTTGTCCAGAGTGCCCCTTTAGTCCACTTTACTCCTCTTCCCACCCCTGGAACAGTGGACATAAGCAGCACCTCTGCTGGCTTAGACATGTTATGTGGAAGACCTGTTATGCGATTTATCCATGTCATTGGCTACTCCTGCCTTCTAGCACTAGTTACTTCTAGGAGTCCTTTTGTTTTAAGAACTCCCAGAAGGAGCTGGTACCCTTCTGCTCCCCACTGTTTCTTGCATGTGTGGGATCCCCGCAGTGGGAGGTTGGGGGAAGAGACCACAGCCAATCTCAGCATCATGTATGTGGTTTCCCATCCACCTCTGGTCTGATGTACTGAATTAGTTGCCAGTGCACTGTCTTCCAGATTTGCCTCTGTGCTCTCTGTTACTGTACTGGATATTGTTCTGTCTGTTCTCATCAAGTCTTGGTTGGCCAGCCAACTAACGAAGTCAGTGTCCATCCTCCCTGCAACCCTTGCCCCTTCTTTGTTATTGAAAGATTAGAAATGAACTCTCTCCTAGCCCTTCTGCAGAAGTGGTAGGTGGGGGGTGCTCTGACCACTGTGGTCTCTGCAGGGGGAACCGTGAGGGGCTAAGCCGTAACTCAAGCAGCCGCCAGAGCAGCACAGACAGCGAACTCAAATCCCTGGAGCCACGGCCCTGGAGCAGCACGGACTCTGATGGCTCTGTCCGGAGCATGCGGCCCCCTGTCACCAAAGCCAGCAGCTTCAGCGGAATCTCCATCCTCACCCGTGGTGACAGCATCGGGAACAGTAAAGGTGGCAGTGCTGGAAGGATCTCCAGGCCAGGTACTGTGGTTTCTCACTCTCTGTCATGCCCAGCATTTCTTGCTTGTCTTCTGTAAAACATCACTGATACTTACATCTAAGAAAACACTTGTCCCAATATAGTATCCTGGAAACCTAACAGAGCCAGATGAGGAGAAATATCATTTCTTGAATCCATTGTCCTTTTGAGTCCCTTCTCTGATTTTCTTCCAAACTTTCTTTCCTAATTGGAAAAAAATTGATTGAAATTAGATTATTTTATCTGATTTCTGACTGAGGTGGGGCACCCCTGTTAGCCCAGGGTCAGGTTATATACTGGGATGGGAATGATAGCTGCTTTCATTCTGTGGCCTCTAAGATTATAAAGAGGGTTTGTAGAGCAGTGGGAACCCTTAGAGTTTAGCTATATGTAATTACTGGGTAGCAGCTAATAGGCTAGAACTTGGGGAGATACTGCTGTGACTTGCTCTCTGGAGCTCAGTCACTGAGAAGGAGCATATGTTCCACATGCCCCCCTGTAACCCTTTAGCTCTCCTGATCTGCTGTGTAACCTTCTCCATGTATTCCTGTTGCACTCTTAGCAGAGGGTTATTTAGCTCCTTACACTCAGTGGACCATCCTCCTGCCTCTGAAGAACTGCTTGACTCTTATCCCAGAACTTCTGTAGGTCTCAGAAGACCTCAGTAGTGGTGAAGATTTTGTCCCTGACTCTTGGGTCTCCGCTGCCCTTCCCTGTTACCTCCTTTCTAACTTCACTGCCTCTGCCTTTATCCAGGCCTTCGTCTTTTTTTATTTAATTATATCACCAGCCCCCAAGCTAGTTTCCCTGCTCCATCAGCAGCCCTTTATAGAGCCAGTTGACCAACGTATAGCATGGATCTGATCAAGTCACTCTCGTAAAAAACTCATGTTTCTGCTTTCCCCACATAATAAAATCCAAATCACTAATACAGCAGAACTTCCTGACTCCAGTCTGCCTTCTCAGTCTCATGTCCACATGTCCAACCTTCTCTGGCCCACCAACCAGTTCTTGAATATGGCATTAGCTTTCTATTCACCTTTCAAGCCCTTCTCTCCTGCCACTTCCTCTTTAAACCCTTCCCTCTAATACTTCTGGAGGTTATTACTTTTCATCTTTGCTTTCATACAACTTGATTCATATCACTGGTACATCCCTTATCCTTATCAGATGGTAATCGTTGTGTGGATGTTCACCTTATGTCAGAAGATCCTATGTTGCTTAAGGGCAAGGACTGTGTTCCTTCACCTTTATGTCCTCAGTTCATTATCCAGTGCTTGGCACATAGTAGATATTCAGTAAAAGTATTTTGTGTGAATGCATGCATGACTTGGAGAGCCTGGAAATGGGGAAAATAGTTAGATGAAGGCTGTGTGTATTTGTGTGCACAGGCATGTGCTTGGAGAGGTGAGGTTGTCTTCTCAGCAACTTTTGTGAGATGCTACAAGTTAAGAAGAAATCAAAGAGAAGATAGGTCTCTTGAGGGACTAGGAACCTGTACCTTCCCAGGAAGCAAACATTCATGTTTTCAGTGTTCATGATGGACAGATTCTAGGCACTTCAGGGGAGGTGACTTAGCAGCCTCACATTTTGTTCAATTCCAAAATGAAACATTGCCAGTCAAGGTGGCTACTGTTCCTAGGGAGCAGAAACCTGCTAAGATGAGGACTTCCAGCAGCAGGGCAGCCGAAATGCATCTGTGCTAATACGTGGACCTTCCCCAGACAGTTGGGGAAATGAACAGGAGAGTGAGGAGAAACAGCAAGGAAAGACTAGAGCCCTGTAGCTGGGCCCTCCAGGGGTTGAATGTTCACGACTTGTGCTTATAGCTCTTGGTGGGTCTCCTCTTTGCCTTAGGTATGGCACTAGGTGCCCCAGAAGTGTGTAACCAGGTCACCTCATCCCAGTCTGTCCGGGGCCTTCTCCCCTGCACTGCCCAGCAGCAGCAGCAGCAGCAGCAGCTTCCTGCCCTCCCACCCACGCCTCAGCAACAGCCACCCCTGAATAATCACATGATCTCACAGGTGAGTCACCACTCAGTGCCAGAGCCCCCTGCGCTCTGATTCAAGCGAGCTCTGGAAGTAGTCATGTCTCTTGTGCTGCGGGTGGCAGGAAAGATCTGTTTTAGGAGACATGCTGCTCCCTCCCCGATTTCTCAATTTGTTAGTTGTGAGGAAAGAAGAGCAAGGGTGACGGTTTGGCCAGAGTGCTCTTAGTAGCCAGTCTGGGAGTTTTTTGCTTTACATTTCCTCCTCTACCTCCTGCAAATTGTCAGTGAGATCTTTTACCCCATTCCCCATTTCTGCTGTACCCCACCTCCCTCTACAGCCTGTGTCATTAGCAAGGTGATTTTGCTCCCTGTATCTGTATATGGAGCTTGAAAAGATCACAGCTCTCACCCTAGTCTGACTGAATGTATTCATGTAACTGTTGACCCATAAACACATATTTATGTGTTGGGGGGAAGGAAATTAACACTCAAGACCCCTGCCATACCTGTGCCATAAGGCATAGAACCAAATAATGCTCCCCTACCCCCAGTCTACAGGGCCTAACCTAGCACGGCACTCCCTGTTGTCTTTGTTTCCATGCCATAAAAGAGCTCTCGCTCCTTTTACTGGACAGATAGATATTGGTACCCACTAGGGTATGAGTGAAGTTTTGCTTCTGTGGAGACCATGTAAGCCATCAGCATAAGAATCAGATTATATTCTAAATGGAAGCTCTCAGTGTTCTAGGTTTGTCTCCTTAATACCCTGAGGAGAAGTGCTCTGAGATCTTCACTTATTGTTTTTTTGCATGAATAGAGCTCTTCATGAATAAGCCCATGCTTTATCCTGAAGTACTCTCTAGTAGTCAGGAAGCCCATATGTCTGTATTCTTTTCTGCTGCAGTTTAAGTTCTTGTTTCACCTCCCAAGCTCCCTCATCTCCCTGCTCAGTTAGTCCATCTTGACTTCAGATACATCTATTCCATAAGCACAAGAAGCAAGTCCCAAACACTCATACGCCAGGAATTGGAAACCAGAGTGGAAAGACCCCAGAATGGCCCAGTTCAAATATTGTGAAATGAAGCTAAAAGAAAGAACAGTGAAGATCTAGGAAACCCTGCTTTGTGTCTTAATATAACCCACGTGCAGATCATTCTAGTCCTTCGTCTTAGTCCATAAATCAGTTTCTCTATAGTCCTGACTTCTTTCTTCTTCTACCACCATATACCCTCATTAAATCTCATTCATTTCAGCTTACCTCGCTCCATACTGAAGCATAGCATAGCATGTGTGTGTGCTTTTCCTTTTCTGTGTCATAACTCAGACCTATAAGTGGGTAAACTCTGTGCTTCTCCCTCTGGCTATCTCCTACTGTATTTCTGTGTGTGTATGTTTCACTTTTATAAGATCCCAGTATTTTTTTCAGTTTTCTAAAATGTAGATTTTAATAGTCTTGCTCCCTTTTTTCCCTCTTAGTCTTCTGTCTGCCTCCTCCTTCCATCCATATCTAGAAACAGACAGCAGGAGTAGGATAGGAATAAAGAGATAAGTAAAGAGAATAAACATTTGGGAATGAAAAAAATTTAGACAGAATGTCCAGGTGCCTGGCCCTAAATCCCAAACTTTTACTCAGATTCTGGCCCTGCTTCTGCATCATGAGTGAAGGTCAGCTGTTGGTACTGACTGACCTGCAGAGAGTACGTGCTAGGTTAGGCCCTGTAGATGGGGGACAGGGGAGCATTATTTGGTATAGAGATCTCTGCTTCCTCAGAAATCTATTCTTGAGGTTAATTTTGATCACAAACTCCAAACCATAAAGTCTTATCCTGGTTAAGTTTTGGTGTCCCTGAAGCACTTAGGTAGCTGCTAATATTATACCACTATATGTAGTTCCTGTTTTCTTCCTCTCCACTTTTTCTCCTTCTCTCTTTATCACTTTCTCCTTCTTCCTACTACCTTTTTCTTTCTTCTTTTTCTCTTGTCTCCCAGTGCTGGTGGCTCTCCAAACTCAAGTTGCTGAGCCCAGAATATTTATTATTCAGTTTCTCAAGTGGTACGCAAGGACAGTGCAGGAATGAAGGAAGTGACCACCACATACGTGCACGCACACACAACACACACACATTCCCCACTGTGCTTACTCTAAAGGTTTTCCTTTGGAAGAGAAACTTTAGCTTTGTAGCAAGAGGCATTTGTCCCAGGCAGGGAGACAGTGCTGGCTAAACTATGCTCTTTCCCTTCTTGGCAGGCCCCTGCTGTCAGAGCAGGCCTCCATATCATGTATCAGTTGAACATGTGAAACCTGGTGAGGCTGAGGATTAAAGGGCCAGAGGCTACCTTTTGCCCATTTATTTAAAGTAGAGTAGGCCTCTTGAAAAGTAGCCCTCTGAGTCTCTCTCCTAAGGTCCAGTCAGACATCCAAGAACCAGTGAGCTAGCCCAGAATTCACCATTAGGGGCAGTCAGATCCCTCAGGGCCAGTCTTTGGCTCACCCATGGTTTTTCAGAAGTTCCCTAGCCCTGGAATTTGAGACTCTCTGGAGAAGAGAACTGTAATTGATGGTAGTGATGGAATAACTTAAAAATAGCACTGAGACACCCACCTTTACCACTACCTTCCTCAGTCAGGAGAGGCCTAAGAGAGGAGCATCATTTCTTCTCTGTTAATTTTTTACTCAAAACTCACAAATGTGAGGAAAATAGGCAGCGTTGTTTTACCATTTCACTGCCCCTATGGCCACCCCTTCCCTCCCAGAGGATAGAAAGCCTGAAGCACCACAAGCCTTCCCCCAAGAGAAAGAAGAGGACTAGAATAGTAGGAAATGGGTTTAAAAACTCCCAGCACAAGTAGCTCATGCTGAGCAGCTTGACCAGCAGTTATATTTGGATACCCTGGCTTACAGAAAATAGTATGGCAGGAGAGCTGAGAATTTATTTTCAAGGCTATGGCAGCGTCTCTCCCAAGTCACACAGTGGTTTCTCAGTAACTTTCCTAACCAAGGTGACTTATATTTTATTTAATTCATATATCAGGAGTATTTCCGTGTTGGGGGGTCTTCTAATTCCTGGACTCTCTGCTTCCGGAACTGTTAGTCCCCTCTGTGAAAGGGTCTCTCCAGAGACACATGGCAGGAGAGGATATTGATACCTTCGTCCCCCACACCTTTTACTTAATACTCTAAATTTGGAAGGAGGGAGGAGACTTATACAAACAAAAAGATGCTTGTGTAATTCTGTTCGACTTCTTTCATGCCCTCCCTATTGCTAGAGTGGAGTGGAAAGAAGATATGTCAGGCAGAACCAGGTTCCCATCCCAGCTCTGCCTTGTTAGCTGTGTGATCCTGCACATGTGATTTAATTTCTCTGAGTCTTACTATCTTAACTGCAAATACAACTTATCAAAAAATTTCCATATAGGATTATTGTGAGGCAGTAATGTGATAATGTATATAAATGAGACAACGTATATAAATGTGATGTCCCCCTCTCTTCCTAGCCTCTCCCCTTTCTCCCACCCCTCCTACCACCACTAGGGGCTATGGCTGGAAGAACGGATGAAGTGATTGAAATGGCTGGAGGGGAAGAACAGAGAGAAAAAAATAGCTCTGCATTTGTTGGTTTAGAATACACCATGTTCCAAATAAACAAATCCTCCTGCTTGAGGCTAATGGAGATTGAAGGAACAAACGCTAAAACTAGGCTATTTATATTTTATTCCTAAATCCCTCCCTGTTTGCTTATGGGGGCATTTTTCATACTGCCCTCACAGCCTGGAGGAGCACAGAACAGTCATGGAGGAGGAGGAAGTAGCCGGAACCAGGCGTGAACTGGCTGTTTTTTCCTTCTCTGCCCTCGGGAGGGAGACGATCCTTGTGAATGAGCACTTCCTCCAGGAGAGCTGTGGTGTGAAATCAGGAGCGTGGCCCGGAGAGCTGAGCCAGACCTTGGATGACCCTTTCTACAGAAGCAGGAATCCCTTTTCAAGTGGGCATTCGAGGAGGGTTATGATTGTGCTCCCCAGAAATCATGTGTTCAGAAAAAATCTTTTGGGAAACGCTGTGTTTGGAATCAGGCAGCAGACCCTGGCTCTGAGAGTCCTAAGATTGCTCACAACAGCTGCAGAGCTCTGAGTGGCTAATGGGGCTGGGTGTGCAGCAGGCCTCTCCTGGAGAGACTGCCTATTTGTCAGAGATGTGAAAAGCCACCAATGATCCTGGGCTTGGTCTCCAGCCTGCTCAGCAGCCTTGCTGTTCATGTGAAATTTCTTGTATGATTAACCTTGTTGTTCCTCCCTTTTTCCTCCCCATCTCCGCCCTGTTGCCTTTCCCTTGCCTTCCTTTTCTCTTCCCTTTCCCACATGCCTTTCTGCTGGTCCACAGCCAGTCCCGGCTCTGCAGCCCTCTCCGCAGCCTGTTCAGTTCTCTCCAGGCTCCTGTCCCCAAGTCCTTCTGCCAGTCTCTCCGCCCCAGCAGTACAACATGGTATAAACTCCATTCCCCCTTTTGGTCTTGTCCATGTGTGGCCTGTATTTGTGGGTATGTCTGGGTCAGTCTGTGACAACCTTGCAAAGCAATTGTGCTTTTTGGAGGGCCATGTTAAAAGGTGTTTCTTCTTGAGGGGCCAGCACAGGCTGAACTATACTCCATTCTAGTGACCTCATCACAGCACTTTAGCCATCAAGATGTCTAAATGTAAGACAGGGAGGAACACCCGAGTTCCCCTGAGTTTTAGGAGGGGGACCAAAATCAGATATTGGTCTAACCTGGACTCCTCATTTCCTTTAAAAATAAAAACACAATTGCAGATTTCTGTGGTACCACTAGTAAAAACTTAAAATATCCCCCTATCTTACCATGTTATTTTACATTAAAAAAAAATAACCTTTTCTAATGCATAACATATGCTGTTTAAATTACTTGTACCCTGACTACAAATCCTTTGAAGATCTGATTTGCCTCATAGTTGATAACTTCTATCATAGTTAGAAGAGCCTTGATTTTTTTATTTTGTGTTAATCACACCCATCAGCTTTTCACTAGAATCCCCTTTCCTCCCACCTCTTATCTCCATTCTGGAAAGTCCTGGAATATGGACCTCAAAATAATCTGCATTCCAGTTTTCTTGTTATCTATTTCTGCCTGCTAAGGTAGCAAAATAGCTATCTTGAAGATCAGATCCCTGAAAATTGAGTGAAACCACAGGAAAGCATTGCCTTTTGTTTCTACTATGTTTTTTGCAAAAGAACTTCTGCTCTGCGTGTGTATGTGTTTGTGTGTGTCAATTACTGTCCAGGGAGCAGAAGGGACGAGGAAGCTAACAAACTCTAACCTATCACCGTACAAGTGAGAGATGGAACACCATCACTCTTGCTGCTTAGAGAAGAGGGCTGAGAGAAAAGGCAATTACAGACTAGCCAGTCAGTCTCGCCCTCCAGCTCAGCCACTCACCCTGGCCTCCTTTCAGAGGTGAGAATTGGAAGTGGTTTCTGAAGGGCAGGAGAACCCTAGGCAAGTGTCAGAGAACAGAGGTGGAAATAACCTCGAGAGGGAGTAAGGAGATAAGCAGCAGGAGTGGGAGCCCGCCAGTCTTTCCGCTACATAGGCCGAGCTGGGGAGACACATGAAACTAGCCATCCATAATCCACTCAGGCTGTTATCTGGGTCCTTTATTATAAAAACGGGATTTATGGCAACTAGGGGCACTTTGTATGGCTGGAGGCATGATGAGGAAGACAGGAAATGGAAAGACTTAACAGTCTTTTTTTTAACACAATAGTTTGTCCT